CTACGCATACATTCAGTACATTTCATATTATCACAGTGTTTTTAGTGCTTGTAACTGCCAAGTAAGTCACCATGGGCCCCAAAAAAGCTTCTAGTGCCAACCCTGTGGTAAAAAGGGTGAGAATTATTATGGAAATGAAGAAAGAGATAATTGCAAAGAACAAAAGTGGAGTGCATGTCTCGGAACTGGCCAGGTTGTATATCAAACCAGAATTAACCATCGCTACTATCTTGGCCAACAAAGCGGAAATCAAAGAAGCCGTTCTTGCAAAAGGTGCAAGCTTGTTTTCGAAACAGAGATCACAAGTACTCGAAGATGTTGAGAGACTGTTATTGGTGTGGATAAACAAAAAACAGATATCAGGAGATAGCATCTCTCACGCGATCATATGTGAAAAGTCTAGGAAGTTGCATGACGATTTAATTAAAAAAAATGCCTGCAACTAGTGGTGATGAGAGTGAATTTAAGGCTAACAAAGATTGGTTTGAGAGATTTAAGAATTGTAGTGGCATACACAGTGTGATAAGGCATGGTGAGGCTGCCGGTTCGAACCAAAAAGCGACTGAAAAATATGTGCAGAAATTCAAGGAGTACATAGAGGCTGAAGAATTGAAATCCCAACAAGTGTTTGTGACAAAACAGGCCTGTTTTGGAAGAAAATGCCAAACAGGACCTACATTACTCAGGAGAAAAAGGCACTCCCAGGACATAAGCCTATGAAAGACAGGCTTACTCTTTTGTTGTTTGGTAATGCTAGTGGTGATTGCAAAGTGAAGCTTTTATTGGTGTATCACTCTGACACTCCCAGTGTGTTCAGGAAAAACAATGTCCTCACGGCTAATTTGTGTATGATGTGGAGGGCAAACACTAAGGCATGGGTCACTAGGGACTTTTCTATGACTGGTTTCACCATGTGTTTGCCCCCACTGTGAAAAATTACCTCCTGGAAAATAAATTGGGCCTTAAGTGCCTCCTGGTATTAGACAATGCTCCTGGTCATCCTTCAAAACTTGGCAGAGCGAATTTCTAGGGACATGAGCTATATCAAAGTGAAGTTTTTGCCTCCTAATGCCACCCCTTTCCTGCAGCCCATGGACCAGCAGATCATTTCAAACTTCAAAAAACTCTACACAAAAGCTATGTTTCAAAAGTGCTTTGAAGTGACCTCAGACACTCAATTGACCCTAAGAGTTTTGGAAAGATCACTTTAGTGTCCTCAGTTGTATAAACCTTATAGGTAAGGCTTGGGAGGGAGTGACTAAGAGGACCTTGAACTCTGCTTGGAGGAAATTGTGGCCAGAATGTGTAGAAAAGAGAAACCTATGCCAGTTGCGGAATCTACTGTGGCATTGGGGAAGTCCTTGGGGTTGGAGGTTAGTGGGGAGGATGTGGAAGAGTTGGTGGAGGAGGATGATGAAGAACTAACCACTGATGAGCTGCAAGAGCATCTGCAACAGCAAAAGGCCAGACCTGAGGAAAGTGCTTCAGAGGAGAGGAGAGAGAAATTGAAGAAGTTGCCTACTTCAAAGATTAAGGAAATGTGTGCAAAGTGGGTTGAACTGCAAACCTTTATGGATGAAAATCACCCTGCACACAGCTATTGCAAGCCATGCTTGTGACTATTACAATGACAATATTGTGGCCCATTTTAGGCAAATCTTAAAGGAACGCGAGGTACAGAGCTCTATGGACAGATTTGTTGTGCGACAGAGGTCCAGTGATTCTCAAGCTAGTCCTAGTGGCACTAAAAGAAGGGAAGTAACCCCGGAAGAGGACTTGCTACCTCAAGTCCTCATGGAAGGGGATTCCCCTTCCAAACAATAACTTCCACTATCTCCCCTCTTCCCATCCCATCAATCACCACCAAATCTTCAATAAAGGTAAGTGTCATGTATTCTTTATTTAGTACAGTAGTAATTGTGCATGTCTTCTTTTTGTGTGTAGGAAAATGTATATTTCATGTTGTAAAAAAAATTTTTTCATACTTTGGGGTGTCAGGAACGGATTAATCTGATTTCCATTATTTCTTATGGGGAAAATTAATAATTCAGTCAACAATAATTTTGTCTAACGATGAGCTCTCAGGAATGGATTAATATCGTTAGCTGAGGGTCCACTGTATTTCTTACGGGAACTGTTGCTTCGATTTTAGGCCATTTCGACTTTAGGCCTAGCTCCTGGAACGGATTACGGCCGAAACTCAGGGTTCCACTGTACGTAGTGGGTTTGTGTCAACCATCTTTGATATTGTTTTAATGCCACCTTTTTAAATGTTATACAGTACTGTACTGTATATTGCAATAAACGGAATAGAGGAAATATCTCTAATATACATTATTTAGGTATGCATACTGGTCAGAGAGCCCGTCCTAAATCCAAGTCGTCAGTAAATGTCGTTAAGTGAGAAGAGGCTGTACTACACAAGTATCACTGTTGACACTACCGCTAACATAAAATCTCAATGCAGACTTGGTCCATTGTATTGGAAGCCTGCTGGATACAAACTACCGCTAATGGACAAAATCTCGATGCTGCATACTTGGTCCCTTGCATGGTGAGTGTACCAGATGCACACACTACTACTGTTAAAAGACAAAATCATGATGCAGCAGACTTAGTCCTTTGTATCAAACATTTATTTGCTAAATATTTCATTGGTTATATCTGAAATCTGCTACACAAGGATCCATTATCAATGTTTTGATAATGTGATCATTTTATTTTTCAAAAACACCAGCCATCTCTCACCAAGGTAGGGTGACATAGAGAAGAAAATGCTCTCACCATTATTCATTCAATTGCTGTTGTGCCAGAAGTCTGTAGGCATAACAATTCAATTGGCCCTCTCAACTGCAACATCCCCACCCCTTCCTCAGCGTGCAGGCACTGTACTTCCCACTTCCAGGATTTGAGCCTGGACTAACAGGTTTTCCTGAATCCCTTCATAAATAATACCTTGCTACCATTCCAATAACAAGTCATGCCATAAAAACCCTTGCTTCCATTCTGATCTAATATTCTCACACAAGCCTGCTGGATGTTCAAGCTCTTAGAACTTGAAACTCCTTTTATCCTCTCTCTCCAACTCTACCACCACCAATTTATACACCCTTTTGGTCATCTTATTCTACTCAATCCTCTATATAAATGCCCAAACTATCTCTACAACCCCTCCTCAACCCTCTGAATTATACCTTTGGTACCCTCACACCATTAAAGTTCTAGCCTTTGAATTACCTGCCTAATATTCACACCACATATCGCCCTGAAATACAATATCTCCATTGCCTCCAACCTCCTACTCACTGTAATGTTAAAAATCAAAACCCATACTCCCTTCTATTTAAAAAAATGATTACTCACTATTTCTACAAAACTGAATGAAATGTGATTAACCCCTTGACTGTCGCAACCCCAAATCCTGAGGTGTCTCCTGGTGTTGCAAAATTCCCCCCCCCCCCCCCCCCAAAAAAAAAATTATTTTTTCTTATGAAAAGATAGAGAATCTTTTCCCGATTGTAATGACACCAAAAGAACAAAATTTGATGGAAAACTGACGGAATTACACTCTCGTGAAGTTAATGACCTTGGTGATATTTACGAATCGGCGATTTCGCCTACTTTGAGCCCTATTTTCGGCTAATTCCATTGTTCCAGTCTACCAAACTCATAGCTATTTATTTAGAACTCCATTTTTTTCTATCAACTGAGTACAAGAAACCGCCCATTTACCGATTTCAACCACCCAATAACGTGGTCAGAAATTTGCAATTTGGCCAATTTCATGAAAATTAAAAAAATATGACAATTTCAAAATAGAGTTCAGAATGAACAATGCAGATATTCCTGGCTCTAAAATAACATTTTCTATGTTCATCAGTCATGTCTCCAGGCCCCTCTGATATTACTCTTGCATTCTATTCTGAATTTTTATTCAAACAAAAAATAAAAGATTTACTGTTATGCAGACTACTGCAATATTGTAATAATTGTATAAATAATGTCAACCCATTGATGACTGCATATTAGAATGGCTACTTGGACATTTATTGGAAAATGACATAATTTGTTTACTTTTGAACATCGGCAAAAATCAAACATTTCCCCTACTTTGAGCTCCATTTCAAGGATCTTTTCATAGTAAAACCAATCAAAATCACCTCTATTTCTATAATACGTTTTCCATTCTATCAAATGAGACAAAGAAAACGAGAATACAACCATAAATACTACACAAAAAAAGACCACAAAGTCGGCATTTTAATTAAAAAAAAAAACTTTTTTTTTTTTTCTTATTATGCACTGCGTGCTGCAGGATTTTTTTTACATGGTGCACACTGACCACACAGACCCATTCTCTCACATGTGGGCCTACCAGCTTTCTCCTGCTTGATTTGAAGCTGCTAGAATTTATGAGTACACCTACCATCCGACTTACGACCTGCTTGACATACGACCATTCGACTTACGACTGTGTTTTCTATGCCCAATTTCTGGGAAATAAACAACTGTTTGTGTTGTACACAGTGTTTATCCTAAACCTTACAGTATAAAATACAGTACTAACAGCATAAAAAGGAAAAAATGAAATACCAAAATAAAACAATAAAATAAAGTCATTACAAAAATGTGATGTTGATATTCAGTAGCAAGGTTCGACTTACGTCCATTTCGACTTACGACCGGTTTGTCGGAACCGAACTCGGTCGTAAGTCGGATGGTACCTGTATATATGTCAAAAACGGTGGCTCGTAAGACGTGTATATACGACCAAAACAGCCAAAGGGTTAAGAAACATTTACAGTGGAAAATTTTACTGCTTTAGTAATGATGGTACTACAAAGTTACGATTTACGGTTTCTCTACAAGCACTGTATGAAGAAATGTATACATGCTTAACTGATAATCTATTGACTAACACTATCATTTTAAAAGTTAAATTCTAAGCTATGCAAGTACAGTATTATGCTTCACATACAATTCAAGATACTATATCTCACCTGTGATACCCATACTCCATAGCACATCAGCCTGTAACGTAGATGTAATTTGCCTTGGTATCGTACGTAGGAGACGACGGCTAGAATGGCGGCCTGTTGTCTGCCAGAACGCTGTCCCCTAAATAATGAAAACTTATACTGTAATGAATATTAAACATAAGATTTTGTGTTGTCATAATTATATGAAATGAAATTATGAATTATATTTATTTTAATTTATAGAAAAGTATTATAGTCAAGAATTTTGTATACAAATACAGTGGACCCCCGGTTAACGATTTTAATCCGTGCAAGAGGGCTCATCGTTATGCGAAATAATCGTTATGCGAATGAATTTTCCCCATAAGAAATAATGGAAATAAAATTAATCCGTGCAAGACGCCCAAAAGTATGAAAAAAATTTTTTTTTACCACATGAAATGTTAATTTTAATACACACAAACTGAAAAAGGCATGCACAATTAAATGACACTTACTTTTATTGAAGATCTGGTGATGATTGATGGGATGGGAGGAGGGGAGAGCATTATCTTCTTACTGTTTAGAAGGGGAATCCCCTTCCATTAGGACTTGAGGTAGCAAGTCCTTTTCTGGGGTTACTTCCCTTCTTCTTTTAATGCCACTAGGACCAGCTTGAGAGTCACTGGACCTCTGTCGCACAACAAATCTGTCCATAGAGCTCTGTACCTCCCGTTCCTTCAAGACTTTCCTAAAATGGGCCATAACATTGTCATTGAAATAGTCACCAGCACGGCTTGCAACAGCTGTGTCAGGGTGATTTTCATCTATAAAGGTTTGCAGTTCAACCCACTGTGCACACATTTCCTTAATCTTTGAAGTAGGCACAATGGATTCCACAACTGGCATAGGCTTCTCAGGGTTAGCCCCAAACCCTTCAAAATCTTTCTTAATTTCCATACTAATTCTCACCCTTTTTACCACAGGGTTGGCACTAGAAGCTTTCTTGGGGCCCATGGTCACTTATTTTCCAGAAACAGCACCGAAAACACTGTAATAATACGAAATATTCCGAGTGTATGCTTGGATGTTACCGCGGAGGCTGGCTGGTAAACAATGGGACGGCCGGCACATGTGAGGGCACATTGGACGCGTCTCGGACGAAAATCGGTAAGCGGGTTTTTAATCGGTATGCGCGGCAAAAATTTTGCGATAAAAGTAATCGGTATGCGGAAAAATCGCTATGTGATGCCATCGTTATGCGGGGGTCCACTGTACTGCAGAAGTACAACTTACTAATGTTAAGGAAGAACGTCGTAGAGGCCTCGAGGCAGGCCAAGTACCATTCTCATCTTCTTCTTGGCCACATTCAGTCCCACTGCATGGTTTATTTTTCTTACTCTGTTTGACTTCAATCTTGTCAGAATTAATTTCTGACAAATAGCTATTATAATTTACATCTGTTTCTATTTCGTCTGTGTCGTCCACCTCTGCCTCGCTATCTGAATCAGATTCAACATCTGTGACCGTTCTCATATCTGTTTCACTGATATTGTACATTATCAATCTCTCATCAGTCTCTGAGGTATTTGCAAAAAGGATTTCTTCCCACATATCAGCATTAGCCTCCTCTGTATCGTTGACATAATGAAGGTGTCGTACAACCATGCGTTGTGCAGTCACTCTCTTTACAGCTGGATGATCTTTAAGAGCATCTAATCCACCATTTTTACCCACCTCTTGAATCTAGAAGATAAAACAAAGATAGCTTTTCTTTGGCTGTGATCATATTGTATTCATTTCTTACAATTTTGTTGGTTCTTCATCACTATTTTTAATATGTAGAATTCTCTGATAAAATGTTTCAAGTGTTCCCTCAAAAAAAAATTCAAATTCTGAAGACATTTAAAGTCTTGAGAACATGATTAAAAAAAAAACAGTTAAAGCATTCAACATTTCTATAGATATTTTGATAAACATGTTATCTAGGAAAAAAAGTTAACATTATTAATAACAATTGAAGGTTGCTTAATATTTTTAAATATGCAGAGGACTATAATATTAAGACAATGAAAAGTTACTACTGTACATGTACATACAGTAAGGTATTTATTTGTACATGTCATCTCTGGTTTAATGGAAAATTTTACACAGAGAAGCTACATATAGAGTATTATAAAAAAAAATTATGTAATTTTATAGTCAACCTTAAACAGTAACCAGTGATATCAGGAAATATATTAAAATCTGGAATGTTTAATTCCTTGAATCATCATATTACCTGAACGACATCAAAGTCACTTGGGTAGTCACTAGCTGGATTGTCACGTGGCAGCACCTCCCACCGAACCACACTGGATTCATTTAGTGCAGCCTCAATAAAACGTTCACGTGCCTCTTGCCTGTAGTATCCCTTAAAAGCTACGATGTATTCTATGGGTGAAATACCATGAATTTTTAATTAAAAAAAAATCCCTTTATATCTTTACTTACTACAAGTGCATGTACAAGGTATACAGTCCTACCTGACATTAATGACATACAGTGGTCCCTCGTTTTTCGTAATGAATCCGTTCCTGGAAGTGTGACTATTATCGAAATTTACGATTTTCGAATCAATTTTCCTCATAAGAAATAATGTAAATACAATTAATCCATTCCTGACACCCAGAAGTTTACCTGGAGTTTACCTGGAGAGAGTTCCGGGGGTCAACGCCCCCGCGGCCCGGTCTGTGACCAGGCCTCCTGGTGGATCAGAGCCTGATCAACCAGGCTGTTGCTGCTGGCTGCACGCAAACCAACGTACGAGCCAAAGCCCGGCTGGTCAGGAACCGACTTTAGGTGCTTGTCCAGTGCCAGCTTGAAGACTGCCAGGGGTCTGTTGGTAATCCCCCTTATGTATGCTGGGAGGCAGTTGAACAGTCTCGGGCCCCTGACACTTATTGTATGGTCTCTTAACGTGCTAGTGACACCCCTGCTTTTCATTGGGGGGATGGTGCATCGTCTGCCAAGTCTTTTGCTTTCGTACTGAGTGATTTTCGTGTGCAAGTACTAAAACAAAAAATTTTTTACGTGAAATATAGATGTAGTACATAAACAATACAATGGGATATGATGAATGAAACATTAACAGCATAACACTTACCTTTATTGGCGATTCTTCTTAGTGTATGGAAGACTGGAGGAGGAGATTGAATTACTGTTTGGAAGGGGAATCCCCTTCCATCAACACCTCAGGTATCAAGTGCTTTTCTGGGGTTACTTCTCTTCTCTGTTTCTTAATGCCACTAGAACCAGCTTGAGAGTCACTGGAGTCCTGTCTAGCAAAATAACTGTCCAGAGAGCTCTGTTTCTGGTGTCTCTTTAACACCTCCCTAAAATGGGCCAAGACTTTGTCACTGTACATGTTGCCAACATGGCTTGCAATAGCCTTGTCAGGGTGATGTTTCTCCATAAATCTTTCCATCTTACCCCACATTTCAAAAATCTCCTTAATTTCTGAAAAAGGCACCTTCTTCCATCTCTCTTCCTCCTCCTCTGCAGCAAGATTCTGAGCTGCAATCTGTTGCTCTTCCTGCTGAAGCTCTTGCAGCTCCTCAGTGGTGAGCTCTTCGTTGTGGTCTTCCACCAACTCTTCCACATCCTCCAAACTCACATCCAACCCCATGGAACTCCCCAGTGCCACAATGAATTTAACAACTGACATAGGCTCATCAGGGTCAGCCCCAAACCCTTCAAAATCCCTCTTGTGGACACAATCTGGCCACAATTTTCTCCAAGCAGAGTTCAAAGTGCTGGTAGTCACTCCCTCCCAAGCCTTACCTATAAGGCTTATGCAATGGAGGATGCTGAAGAGTTCTTTCCAAAAATCTCTTAGGGTCAAGTGAGTGTCTGAGGTCACATTAAAGCAACCTTTGAAACATTGCTTTGGTGTAGAGTTTTTTTAAGTTTGCAATGACCTGCTGGTCCATGGGCTGGAGGAGAGGAGTGGTATTCGGGGGCAAGAACTTTACTGTGATGGACCCAAACTCCTCCAAAATTAGGTCATCCAAGTTTGGAGGATAAGCAGGTGCACTGTCCATCACTAGGAGGCACTTGAGATCCAATTTCTTTTCCAGGAGGTAATTCTTCACACTAGGGCCAAACACTTCATTGAACCACTCGACGAAAATTTCCCTCGTGACCCATGCCTTACTATTAGATTTCCAAAACACACACAATTTACTCTTCATAACATTTTTTTCCTGAACACTCTGGGATTTTCAGAATGGTACACTAGTAACGGCTTCACTCTGAAATCCCCACTAGCATTAGCACAGAACATGAGCGTCAGCCTGTCTTTCATAGGCTTGTGTCCTGGCAGTCCCTTTTCCTCCTGAGTAATGTAGGTCCTCTTTGCCATTTTCTTCCAAAAGAGGCCTGTTTCATCACAATTGAACACTTGTTCAGGTTTCAGTCCTTCAGCCTCTATGTACTCCTTGAATTCATGCACATATTTTTCAGCCGCTTTTTGGTCCGAACTGGCAGCCTCACCATGCCTTACCACAGTGTATGCCACTGTGGTTCTTAAATCTCTCAAACCAACCTTTGCTGGCCTTAAATTCACAAATATCAGTACTCGTTGCAGACAATTTCTTTACCAGATCGTTGTGCAACTGCCTAGCTTTTTCACAAATAATTGACGTCATAAGACTATCTCCTTCTAATTGTTTCTCGTTTATCCACACCAATAACTTCTCAAATCTTCGAGTACAGGTGATCTCATTTTTGTCAGCATATTTACCCACTTTGCAACAACAGCTTCCTTGATTTCCTTTTTCTTGGCCACAATGGAAGCTATGGTTGTATGGGGTTTGTTATACATCCTGGCCAGTTCAGCCACACGTACGCCAATTTCATATTGTTCAATGATGTTTTTCTTAAATTCAATCGTATTTCTCACCTTCTTTACCAAAGGCTTGGCACTAGGAGCTTTCTTTGGAGCCATGGTAGCTTATTTAGTAGTTGCAAGCACTAAAATGAATGGAATATTATGAAATATTTCATATGAGCAAGTGAGGGGACCGTCGCTCACTGGTAAACAATGGCACACTGGCTGGGAAGGGAGGCCGGGGCGGCTCAGAGTTTGAGTATGCGTTCCAGACGAATGACTATTCGCGAGTCAAACTACGATTAGCGAGCCAATGTTTTGACGAAAATATCGTCAAGATTTTCGAAAATTACAACTATCGAGCCTTACGATTATCGAGGGACCACTGTACTACTATACGTATAGAAAGCCGCTTGTTATGCACAGCATTTCAGGCAAATTAAATCAGTTTTGTCCCAGGATGTGACCCACACCAGTCGACTAGCACCCAGGTACCCATTTTACTGATGGATGAACACTGGACCAGTGAAAAGAAACATGTCCAATGTTTCCACCCCCTTCACCGGGAATCGAACCCAGACCCTCATCGTATGAAGCAAGAGCTTTTGCCACCAGGCCACGGGGCACCCTGTATGCTGTAATAAGAGTAAAGAATTTAAATACAGTGGTACCTTGACTTAAGAGTTTAATTCGTTCTGTGACCAAGCTTGTAACTCAATTTGCTCATAGAGTATATCAAATCAATTTTCTTCACTGAAATTAATTGAACTGTCATTAATCCATTCCAGACCCCAGAAAACCACCCCAATTTTTTTGTTGTGGGTTTTTAAATAAGAAAAATGTATTCATAAATAAGAAATATTGTATACTCCACCCACCACCCTCACTACTCCACCTGCCACCCTCACTACTCCACCTGCCACCCTCACTACTCCACCCGCCACCCTCACTACTCCACCCGCCACCCTCACTACTCCACCCGCCACCCTCACTACTCCACCGCCACCCTCACTACTCCACCCACCACCCTCACTACTCCACCCGCCATCCTCACTACTCCACCCACCACCCTCACTACTCCACCCTCACTACTCCACCCACCACCCTCACTACTCCACCTGCCACCCTCACTACTCCACCCACCACCCTCACTACTCCACTCACCACCTTCACTGCTCCACCCACCAACATTTCTACTACACCCACCGCATTCACTACTCCACCCACCACCATCTCTACTCCACCTACCACCATATCTACTACACCCACCACCCTCACTACTTCACTCACCACCATATCTACTCCACTCACCATTATCACTACTCCATCCACCACCATCACTACTCCACTGATCACCGTGACTACTCCCCCCACCACCATCACTACTCCACCGACCACCATGACTAATCCACCCACCACTATCAGTACTCCCCCACCACCATCACTACTCCACCGACCACCATGACTAATCCACCCACCACTATCAGTACTCCCCCACCACCATCACTACTCCACCCACCACCATGACTAATCCACCCACCACTATCAGTACTCCCCCCACACCATCACTACTCCACCAACCACCATGACTAATCCACCCACCACTATCAGTACTCCCCCACCACCATGACTACTCCCCCCACCACCATCACTACTCCACCGACCACCATGACTAATCCACCCACCACTATCAGTACTCCCCCCACCACCATGACTACTCCCCCCACCACCATCACTACTCCACCGACCACCATGACCAATCCACCCACCACTATGACTACTCCACTGACCACCATGACCAATCCACCCACCACTATCAGTACTCCACCCACCACCATGACTACTCCCCCACCACCATCACTACTCCACCGACCACCATGACCAATCCACCCACCACTATCAGTACTCCCCCCACCACCATGGCTACTCCACCGACCACCATGACCAATCCACCCACCACTATCAGTACTCCCCCCACCACCATGACTACTCCCCCACCACCATCACTACTCCACCAACCACCATGACCAATCCACCCACCACTATCAGTACTCCCCCCACCACCATGACTACTCCACCGACCACCATGACCAATCCACCCACCACTATCAGTACTCCACCCACCACCATGACTACTCCCCCCACCACCATCACTACTACTCCAACCACCATGACCAATCCACCCACCACTATCAGTACTCCACCCACCTTAATTAATGTTTCTGGAAAAACTCTTGTGTTGAAATGGAGGTTACCTCTTCCCCATATTTATATGAGAACCAAACAAGGGACAAGGTGCCTCACTACAATCTGGGATCAATGTGGGAGTATTATCCTTCCAGTTATGTCTTGGAAGAGCATGTGGGATGGGACGAAGTAACCGACATTCCTTGGGTACAGAGTTGGACTTGACTTCAGATACGCTGCCAACTAGTACCAGTGCATCTGAAGCTCGCTTGTAACTCAGGTTTTGGCTTGCAACTCAAAGCAAAAAATTGACCGAGTAACAGCTCATAACTCTGAAAACTCATAAGTTGGGGCACTCGTAAGTCAAGGTACCACTGTACTTTTGAAATCAATGTATGTATTACAAATTCATAGTACAGTGGAACCTCAAACATCGAACTTAATCCGTTCCAGGAGCTAGTTCTAAATTCGAAAAGTCTGAAATTCGAAGCAATATTTCCCATAAGGAATAATGGAAATACAATTAATCCATTCCAGAAACCCAAAAATATTCACACAAAAAATACATTTTATAGAGATTAATTACAGTTTTACATACAAATACTATAGTATTTAATTATGTATAGTAATACATATAAAATAGCATTTTTACTTACCTTTATTGAAGATTGGTGATGGCTTCTGGAAGATAGGGAGGAGGAGAGAGGAAGTTGGGGTTAGTGTTTGGAAGGAGAATCCCCCTCCATGAGGACTTCAGGTAAAGCCCTCGCTGGGGTTACTTCCCTTCTCTGTCTTTTAATGCCACTAGGACCAGCTTGAGAGTCACTGGACCCGTCTCACAAAATAACTGTCCACAGTCCTCTGTTTCTGGTGCCTCGTTAACATTTCCCTAAAATGGGACATGGTTCTGTCACTGAACTTGTTGCAAAGATGGCTTGTTTCAGCTTGCTCAGGGTGGTACTTCTGCACAAACATTTGGACATCATTCCACTTGGCACAAATCTCCTTAATCTTTGAAGAAGGCACCTCATCCACTCCCTATACACATTAACACCTTTCGCAAGATCAGCTTCCTTGATTTGTTCTTTCTTTGACAGGATAGAACCGATGGTTGACTTGTTTTTCCCATACATCCTGGCAAGCTCAACAAGTCTCACACCACTCTCATACTTCTGTATTATTTCCTTCTTCACATCTATGGTGTTTCTCACTTTCTTTACCACAGGGGTACCACTAGCAAGTTTCTTTGGGCCCATGGCAGCTTATTTCACAGTCCCACAAGCACTAAACACAACAAAATAATCGTAAAATGCGTGAATGAGAGCGCAGGTTAGTGTTCACTCAAGCATAAAAAAAGCTAGACTGCTCACGGTGCCTGCGCGGGGACGCGAACAGAGCGGGGTGGCAGACATACCCGGCGGTCTGAAAATAGGGGCGCGTTCGATAATAGGGACACAGTTTGTCCGAAAAAATGGTCCTATTTTCGAAACGTTCGACATGTGATACGTTCGATTTTTGAGGTTCCACTGTAAATAATGGTATCATTGATATTTTAAAAGTAACATTAATTAAAGTGTTCTAAAGTCACAATCTTTAATAATGTATTTTGATCATTTTTATTTAAAGCTGAAATGTTAACATTTTATTGCCAGTCTGTTTTATTCTGAGCTCTCATTGTGTACTCTCATTTTTATTTGTGTGAAGTAATGCACTTATATGGTAGGAAATAAAGCATTTATTAATACCAGTGATCCAGGAAATTAAAGTTGCCCTTTTCCTTGGATAAAGTCTGATTAACTCCCATTCCCCAGGCAGTGTATGACTCCCTAATTAGTAACTCCACCTCCTAGCCACTTGCTCCTGGCATTTTAGTGACCTCTTATGACACACATGGCTTATGGAAGGAAGATTCTTTTCTGCTTCCCCATGGAGACATGTTACTAATTCTTACAAATTAGATGCACTCGTTCCAACAGAGACGGACATCTCTGTTGGAACTAATGCATCTATTGAGCTCCTCAAATACCTCTTGGTCGTTTCTTGTGAACTCCCCACCTTTTTTCCTCAGCCTGATTACCTGGTCCTTGACTGTTGTCTTCCTCCTGATGTGGCTATAAAACAGTTTCTGGTCAGCCTCGACTTTTGATGCTACGTTGTTTTCGTACTGTTGCTGGGCCTCCTTCCTTATCTGTGCATACTCGTTTCTGGCTCGTCGACAAATCTCTTTATTTTCCTGGGTCCTTTGCCTTCTGTACTTTTTCCATTCTCTAGTGCACTTGTTTTTGCCTCCCTACCCCTTTGGGTAAACCAAGGGCTCATTCTGGTCTTCCCATTATTTCCGTTGCCCTTGGGGACAAGCCTTTCCTCTGCCTCCTTGCATTTTGCTGTTACATAGTCCATCATTTCGTTTACCAACTTTCCTACCAATTCTCTTTTCCACTGTACCTCCTGCAGGAAGTTCCTCATACCTGTGTAGTCCCCCCCTTTCATAGTCTGGCTTTTCCCTTTCTACTCCTGTTACCCTCTCCACATGTAACTCTACTATGTATTCAAAGCTCAGAACCACATGATCACTAGCTCCAAGGGGCCTTCATATATGATGTCCTCAATGTCTGAGCTACTCAGGGTGAACACAAGGTCCAGTCTTGCTGGTTCATCCCCCCCTCTCTCTCTCTCTCTCTCTCTGGTAGTGTCCCTAACATGTTGGTGAATGAGGTTTTCCAGTACCACATCCATCATCTTGGCTCTCCATGTTTAAGGACCCCCATGTGACTTCAGGTTCTCCCAATCAATCTCCCTGTGGTTTGAAATTGCCCATAACCAGTAACTTTGTTCTACCTGAGTGAACTCTTCTGGCCACCTCAGCTAGTGTGTCCACCACTGTTCTGTTGCTCTCTTCATATTCCTCTCTTGGCCTCCTGCAGTTCTGTGGCAGGTTATATATCACTGCAATGACTATTTTATGTCCCCCAGACTGAATTGTACCTACTATGTAATCCCTCTCTCCAATCTCATCCATTCCTTCAATTTCCTGAAATCCCCATCAATTTTTAATGAGCAGTGCAACCCCTCCTCCCCCTCTGCTCTTTCTATCTTTCCTCAGGATCTGATATCCAGGTGGGAAGATTGTGTCTGTTACTGTCCCAGTGAATTTTGTTTCTGCGACTGCTATGATGTCTAGGGGTGTCTCTTTGATTCTTTCATGCCACTCCTCACATTTGTTCGTTATTCCATCCGCGTTCGTGTACCAAGCCTTCAACTTCTTTTCTAAAACTGTGGTCCAGGGAGAATGGTGGGTTTGGGGAGCAGGAGCCCTGGCAGGGGCCTATAGGGGGGTTGCTGTGGGGGTAGAGTTTGTGGTGTGGAGAGTGGGGGCAGTGGTCCTATGGGGGGTTACTGTGGGAGTAGGGTTTGTGATGAGGGGGATGGGAGCAGAGGGTACAGTGTGTGGGTTTTGGTTTCGATTGTTTGTATGTATGTATGTATGTATGTGGAAAATTATTTGCACATCTATACATGAGCCCACCCATCTTATTTTCTTTCTATGAGATTGACCAATTTTGATTAACTCTGTGACATATAATAGTCACACATACACATTTCAAATTTAATAAGCAACAGGGCTTTTAAAAATTGTGAATTGCAATTGCACAGGATTACACTGCATTTATTTATAATTTTATTTCAAAAGAAGAAAAAACGATAATGTTAATGGTAGTTGACATTAAAATTTATAAGTTACTACAGTATTTATCAGAAATATTGTGCAGTACTCTGATGACAAAGAATCAGTACTTTTAGAGCAGTGTTACTGTTCAGGTAAAAATTTTGATAAGCTTTGACTTACACACTGCATAATTACTGCTAATCTATTCTCATTGATACATACAAAGTATTTACTTTATTTACCATTTTCCACAATGCTAGATGAGTATTGGATTTTAACTTGTTGGCCTTGACTTCTGCCACATGGTCTTTCTGTTGGTCTGTTGTTTAACTTATCTGAATCATCATTTCCATTACTTTTCAATGTGGATTCCTGATATACATCACTCATGTAATCAACTTCATTTACACTACTAAGTCTTCTTGCCACAAACATTAAATTGTCTTCACTGTCAAAGGTATCACCACTATTAATGGAGGTAGTATCAAGTGTCCTATGAGTTGCTCTACTTAAAACACACAAAAATAACAATAATCCTAAAGTAATCCTCCAGTCATGCCACCACTTCACCCTCCACCTGGGAGTCCACCAATCTCTTCCATCTCGAGTCCTTAAATTCACTATTTTTGAACTACATGAACACGTTATATTTCTCTTCTCCGATTCTGAACTGTCTTTAGGTACTGTTGTTAATATTATTGATAAGTTATTTGGCAGAGCAGCAGCTGCAGTAAATCTTTCAGATGCATTGGTTTGTACAGTTTCTTGTCGCCCTGATCTGGCAGTGTTACATTCTGGTGATGCTGCTTTCTTCGTTTCACTCTCCTTCCACCGAAAGTTTGGCTTCATTTTGTGCTTAGGCTGGGCCATATAACTGAACTTTAATTTCTCGCCTGTAAAAATAAATGGTGTATCAGTTATGTTCTGCATAGATTTCTACATTTTCTCAAGTAAATAATAAATACAGTATTTGACAAGTAATTTGAACTTGAATGGAAATAAGTAAAATACTTATGAGAAAACAACACATTCTCAAAAATTTATTTTCTTCAGAATTCATACCCCTCAAGGAAGATTCCTTGATGTTGGTGAGGGGCTCTTGATTTAGGGAATTGGATCTGTGCTCCAGTTCCCCGAATTAAGCCTGAATGACTTTCACACCCCCCCCCAGGCGCTGTATAATCCTCCAGGTTTAGCACTTCCCCCTTGATTATAATAATAATAATAATAATTCAGAATTCATAGTATAGTCACATGAATTTATATGGTATACAAATTTGTCATTGTACACTAAAATAAACTTGATAATTTAGCCTAACATTGAAAAAAAAAATGTAATGGTTATAGCTTATCCGTACCCAACCTAAGGTTAGCCTAAATGTATTTATTTTGTAAAAACAGTAATATACATATATTTTGCAAATACATAAAATAAACATATTAATAGGTTTACTTTATTAAGTTGCTTGTGCTTGAATGCAACAGTCAGTGTAATGAAGTGGACTAATAATAGCATTTATGAGTGATACAATAACCATGCAGCTTATTGCTACACTATGCAACTTCATTACCTCTTCTACTTTCATTTTGCATCATTAGCTTACATGTAATATCAACAATTTGATGCATCAGGAACATGACAAAATATTGAAACCACAGAACTTACCAAGTACTGCAAACAGGAACTGATAATTTATGGATTTAGATCAGCTGCATCATACTTTTAAAGGTCATCTTGACCTCGTATTTTACCAGCATTGCAGATATCTGATAATTACCTATTAACCCAAATTTAAAAAAAAAATTCTTCTTTTAAGATTAACAAAGTATTAATTTTTGACCTTCGTGTTAAACACAATATGCGAGACATTATGAAACAGCACTCCTGAGTCTTTAAGACCAAGAAATTCCACCTCGACTCACCATTGTGCCTCATCTGCACAGATGTCTCAATGTTTTGCTTTGCATCGCATCGAAATAAGCATCGACTAATACTTCATTTCCCTTACCTTTTCCCTTTAAATAATATAAAAGAATCATATCGCAACTCAGAACGTCTTGACAACTTTATCGTAATTTTTATAAGTGCAAAATGAAGGATTGGATTCTAATAGGAGGAGATGTTGTGTCGTCTATAGTACGAGGATCTAAGAGAGAACGGAGACACTCGTGTCAACAAACTTTGGTGCAGGACGCGTGACCCTCGCTCTATGTACTGTTATGTTCTACCTTAATTAAATTCATCTTTATCTTCAATACCTTACCGTATATTTTACCACCAACTGACTAGCGTTTTATGATAAACAATCAAATATGTAATAGTATGTTTTAATCTTTCCTATTAAGTGTGCTTTACGGGAGACAAAGTTCATATAACGGTATTTCCTCTTTGTCATTCCTTTCTCGTGCAATTTAGTAACAATATTGAATACACATTAGTTTTGTTGATGTTTTGCCTTAGTCTGCAAAATCTTAGTTTTCCTCATAATTGGTACGTTATTATTATATTTATGGGGTGAGCGTTAACCAAGGCCCCTAATGAAAATAAAATCACTTGGCTTATTTTTAGGTAATTTACACTATGTATGATAATTGTACTTATGTGTACTTGTGCCTAAATAAATTAGTTACTAACCCTGTGGTCATACAACGCCTGAGAAAAAAAAAAGGCATTCAGGTTCGAGCCCATGGGCATAAAGGAAACTCCCCTTAGGGTATAATTGTCACAAAGAATTTAGTGTTCTATATTCGTGATTATTATGTATTGGTCACCCCTGTGGGTTTAGCGCTTGGTTATGAATATGTTACTATGTACTGGTCATACAGCTCCATATTCACGAGTCATTTAGAATGTAAAGCTGCTTAAAAAACTCAATTCGAATTTGAAATTACGATGAAATTAATTTTATCAGTAATGCCCTTCCTGATATGGTGCCTTGATGTTGAAGGGCTCTTGATCCGAGAAATTGGGTATGCCCGCTCCTTGGATTGGATCAACTCTGTGATTACTCCCATTCCCTATGCTGATGAGTAAGACACATTCAGACATCTTTATTGTAGAAACTCTTCGCCTGCACAGAGCTGAATGATGTAGTCGAGGAGAGTTCTACGATCAGCCCCTCCCCCCCCATGAAAAATGAGCCAGGGTTTTAAGGAGGTTCAGCCGGCTATGACAAGTTCCATTCAAGTAGGTAATGTGAGGTTTCCAGGTTAACCTACGGTCAAACAGAAAGCCGAGAAACCTGACCGTATCACGTTCTGAGATACGCAAATCATATAGGTACAATGGATGATCAGAGACGACAGAACGTCTAGTGAAAGTAATTTGGTGAGTTTTAGTACTAGAAAATTTAAACCAATGAGTAGTGGCCCAATTGGAAGCACAGCTGACCGCATGCTGGAGAGAAACTGCAATGGCTTGACAGTCAGCGCCTGCACAAGCTATAGCAAAGTCATCAGCATAGAGTGATGACCAAATATTAGATGGAAGAACAGATGCCAGATCATTTATAGCATGTAGAAAAGTGTTGTGCTCAGAATACATCCTGGGGAACACCTTCAGCTTAGACAAAGGCCGGGGAAAGCGTATTATATTAACCCAAACACGGAAATCTCTCAGTTAAGAAATTCTTAAGGAAAAATAGTAGATTGCCTCGGAAGCCTAAGGAGTGGGCCTGGGCCAAGATGTTATACGTCCCAATTGTGTTATATGCCTTCAAAAGGTCATAAAAGGCGATAACTGAGTGGTTATTATTATTATTATTATTATCAAAAAGAAGCGCTAAGCCACAAGGGCTATACAGCTGAGTGGTTATTAGCAAATGCATTACGAACACTACACTTGGTTGCATACGTAACCAAGTGTAGTAAGGGGTCAGTGGTAGAACGGCCCTTACAAAAGCCATATTGATTAGTGCAGAGACTATTGTGTCTTTCTAAATACCACATCAAACGTCTATTTACCAGACGTTCCATCACCTTGCAAACTGCACTGTTAAGAGTAATGGGACGATAATGGGAGGCACCATATCCCATAGTACCCGGTTTGCGGAAAGGGAGAATAATGGCAGATTTCCACAGCTGGGGAAGAACTCCTTGCGACCAAATAAGATTAAAGAGTCGTAAGAGGACAGCAAGGGCTGATTGATGTAAATGCTATAGCATACGAATATGAATGACGTCAGGCCCAGCTGCCGATGATCGGCAAGCGGAGAGCATTGCCTCCAGTTCCAGAAGTGTAAAAGGCACATTATAAGATTCTTATCTGATAGAAGAAAAGTTTAAGGGTTCTAACTCTCTGGCAGATTTGGAGGAAAGAAACGAGGGGCATATATGGAGCCCCTGAGAGATACAAACAAGATGATTACCAATTTCGGTGGCAACGTCAAGAGGGCTTGCAACAGCGACATTGGCAACCCAAAGAATGGGAGCCGGGTCAGGAGTATTTACCACTCAATTTCCATACTTTTTTTCCAGACTGCACTCATAGATGAAGCCAAAGTGATGGTAGAAACATAATCATACCTGCCATACCACGGGCGGGGATAGAACCCACGATCAGAGAGTCTCAAAACTCCAGACTGTTGCGTTAGCCACTGGACCAGCTAGCCTACCCCATGCAGCACATTCCAAACATACTGCCTGAGCACAAGCAGGAGACCATTAAGGCATGCACCTCTGAGAATGCCTGCCAGAGGTTTAGGGTGTACAATGTGAAAATGCAGTTAAAACCGAGGTCGAGGTGTAAAAGCTCATCAATGGAGGACGAAGAAGGATCCTCACTAAAAGCAGTTTGTTGTGAGTAAAGGCCATAACTCCCTCGGTCAAATTGCCAGCATGGACTACAAGGTGGTGAATACAAAGAAGTAAGGATGATTGGAAAATGACCACTGTCATGCAAGTCCAGGAGGACAGACCAGGTAAAGTTTAGTACAGTTGAGGAAGACGAAACCGGGAGCGCTTGAAGTTCCTGAACCTATACTCCCTGGAATGCAGGCGGGAGAGATACATGATTATATACACCTGGAAAATCCTAGAGGGACTAGTACTGAACTTGCACACGAAAATCACTCACAATGAAAGCAAGACTCGGCAGACGATGCAACATCCCCCAATGAAAAGCAGGGGTCACTAGCACGTTAAGAGACAATACAATAAGTGTCAGAGGCCCGAGACTGTTCAACTGCCTCCCAGCATGCATAAGGGGGATTACCAATAGACCCCTGGCTGTCTTCAAGTAGGCACTGGACAAGCACCTAAAGTCGGTACCTGGCCAGCTGGGCTGTGACTCGTACGTTGGATTGCGTGCAGCCAGCAGTAACAGCCTGGTTGATCAGGCTCTGATCCACCAGGAGGCCTGGTCACAGACCGGGCCGCTGGGCCGTTGATCCCCAGAACTCTCTCCAGGTAAACTCCAGAGAATGAGTATGAGGATCAAAATGGGTGGGAGTACCCATATTTAAAACGTGGAGGGGGAGAGAAGCGAGAAAAGCCTCCAACTGAATGCTGCAGGAGTCACAGTGAGACCCCCAGAGGAAATGGTGACCATTAAACTTGCCAAGTAACAGAAGTGGTGGCGGTAATGAAGAAACTAAGAATGCAACATCTGGGATAGATAATGCTCGAGGAGATACAAAGAACAGATTGTATACCACTTATTCAGTTGGATGCTAGCTACAGTGTAATGCAGCAAAGTATGAACAAAGAGCTGATGATATGGAATATCAGTGCATATAAGAAGTGCACTTTCATTAAAGATTCCATCAGGAAAAGGATCCGATGAATATAATAAAACATAGCCCAAGATGGGTTGGATAACAGTGGAGTGTAATTTGAGTTCTTGTAAACAAACACAAACAGGGGAAAACTAGGAGAGCAACACCTGAAGCTCACCCCAGTTTCCTCTGAGGCCACAGATATTCAGCTGTAAATAAGCCATGATTTGCAAAGAGTAAGATGCAAGAAATCTGAAGGTAGAGGTATCTATGGACTAGAAGGGTTAGAAAAGTCCACATGTGGAGGCAACGAAAAATGCACAAGCAGCGAAGGATTGGGACACTGCGAAGAAAGGAGCTGTGCAGAAGTTGAAGAGTGAAGAGGAGGAACAGAAGGTGGATCAGTGTCCATCAATGGTCTAGTCTTCTTAATAGATGTTGAAGAGTGAAGAGGAACAGAAGGTGGATCAGTGTCCATCAATGGTCTAGTCTTCTCAATATATTCGGAAATAGCTTCAAGTGTTTCAGAGTTAAAGGATGTTGTACAGGAGGCCCTCCCCATTCACGAGGGTTAGGGGATCAAGAACCTCACGAATCTTGAAAATTCACAGATGCTTGGTGTGCAAATATGTAGGGTAATATAATAATACTGTACTGTAGCGTTCACAAATGTCTTGATGTGCAAATATATTGTGGGGAAATATAACAATAGCATTTACTGGCAGTTTGGAGGGATATGTTGTGTATCTTTATACAGTGGACCCCCGGTTAACGATATTTTTTCACTCCATAAGTATGTTCAGGTGCCAGTACTGACCGAATTTATTCCCATAAGGAATATTGTGAAGTAGATTATTCCTTTCAGACCCCCAAACATACACGTACAAACGCACTTACATAAATACACTTACATAATTGGTCGCATTCGGAGGTAATCGTTATGCGGGGGTCCACTGTACGTATATGCTTCTAAACTGTTGTATTCTGAGCACCTCTGCAAAAGCAGTGATAATGTGTGAGTGTGGTGAAAGTGTTGAATGATGATGAAAGTATTTTCTTTTTGGGGATTTTCTTTCTTTTTTGGGTCACCCTGCCTCGGTGGGAGACGACCAACTTGTTGAAAAAAAAAAAAAAAAAAAAAAAATTTACT